ATGTTCCCCCCCCACACACACAGGTATACATTTGTGTGACTTGACACATTCGAATATTTTTGTCTGTCTTCAAAAAAATAAATAAATATGACTCATTAACCATCTCCCACTGTGTGTTGTCTCTCATTTCTTCTCTTGTCTTTATGTCTCAATTCGGATTTTTATTTACAGAAATTCCTTGTCTTATTTATCATTTTTAATATGTTAAACCTTAGCGAATGTCACTTGTTGTTGTTGTTGTTATCGTCACTGGTTCCCAATTCAGTATGAAGTACCACGACTATCATCGTCATCATCATAAATAAATAAATTTAGAAAATTCGACAAAGTAAATATTAAGACGGACAATTTAAAACAAATTCAAATTATTACTGTGTTTACTCTATTTCAATTATAAACCTTGGTTACTTTTAATTCTGTTTAGGTGAATGTTGATTTTCATTTTGTTGTTTATATTAATTGTTTTCTTCTTCTTTGTTGATCTATTATTCGTCATTTGAATAGTAAATAAAAAGATAAGATGGGTGGGAGGTAATATATATGTGTGTGTTTGTATGTGTGATTAGATTGAGATTGACGCTGTCCTATTACATTGATTATTATACTGTCTGGGCAATGTCAGCTTCTTTACGGTCAACTGAAACAATAAATCTGAGCTTTAATATTGGCTTCTTTCCTCTTCATAATTGTCTTCTAACCATGGTTATGTATACCATTTATGCGTAGGGGTGGGATTCCTTACGTGTTTTATTTACTCTTTTATACACTACTTTATTTATCTTGGTCTTTTGTGTTCTTTTTAAAATTTTGTCAATATTTATCCATAAGTGGTTGTCATACACAAGTTAATTGATTCAGTCATAGACGATGCAGAACCTAGCACATTTATCCATAGACCCAAGTTGTAATAGTATATCAGTGCAGAGAGATAAAACAAACGTCAGAGTAACGAGAGTGTAGTAATAGTGTCAGTAGTAATAGAAAATATTAGGCCTAAACAATATGATTCGATAATGAAGAGTTCACTCACAAGATAAAAGAAACACAAGATGATCTTAAAACTCAAGATGTAAGGCGAGGAAAAAAGCAAATGGATCAGCACCATCATGGTGTATTCTGAATCATGTTGCCAAATGTTTTTAACCACTTGTTGCGATAATCGCTCGAATCATATTTAGGTAGTCATACACCTGTCAATATGACTTATACTAACAATCAATCAATTCATGGACTGATGCCATTTCATGGTTTAACCGCCTCTAGCTCCCACCCAAATTATTCCTGTCTCCATCCACCAACTATTTCGACGCACTATGACAGATAACGTAGTTTTAGATTAGAAGAAATCTAGGGTCGCCTAAACTAAGATATAGTATCAGTTTATAAAGTCATTGACCATTGAAGTGAGCCATTTAGCTAGTTGCAGACTACCTCGTTGTGGGTCCGTGTGATTATCTTGACCAATGGTTAGAAACCTTGAATGATATGGATCGAAATAGTTTGCAATGGCCCATGTGCGTTCATTCTTTGTCTTCCCTTAGATCTTAAGTCTCTAAATTTCTCATAAATCTTGGTAGTATTTCATCAATTTATATTTTCTCAATATATAATTTTTACTATTATTACTGATACTGTCACTACTTCTATTAATCCGGGATTTGTCCAGATAGTTTCATCTCACTGTGTTCCAATAGGATATTTTGCGTCTAACGAACTAACTCCTATCTCCAGCTAACATCACGAGTCAAGGCAGTGGTTGGCATATCAAGTAAACTGGATAGTATAAAAATTTAAATTTTAACGAGTGAACATGTGTTTATTAGTACTTTGCATCATCATTTCAAAATGGATAATTATTAAAACTAATTAAATGTAAGTTGAATTAACATAAACAAACTCAATGTAATGTGAGATAGAGGTGAGCAGGTCAAGAGGAGAAACAGAATGAAAAAGTATTCACTTTTAATGAATTCAACTATTTTAACATGATGAAGTAGTAGTATTAGTATTAGTAGTAGCAGTGGAAGTAACAATTTGAAAGATGTCTAATAATCTGTTAATCAGTCAGTTATATCAGACGATATATCAGGATTCTGGGATGGTAAAGTAACTTTGTAGATACTTCATCAGAATTTGAGGCAATATACATTAGGTATGAATTTCACTGAGAAGAAATAAGTATGTTCAGTTGAATGGTCCCAAATAAGACGAAACATATGACCTGCATCCCGTTTCTCGTTACACACCAAATATACTAAAGCTTTCGGTTTAATTATTCAAACTTTGGAACCATAAATCACTGGCTTTTGAAATGTAATGTACTATAATTATAGATTTATAATAAAAATGAGTTTAGTGTTTATAATTCCTCATGTCAGATCACACTAGATTTGCAGCCTAAAAGAAATCGTGAAAGTCTCAGTTAATGTATTTAGCTTGAATTTCAACTTATTTTGTGTAACAGTAAATGCTAATAAACTTAATATAAGTGAAGTATGTTACTGAAACCTTAGTTGAGCAAAACTTCTTGTCAAATACTTCCGACTAGTAAACATATGTAACTGTAAGATTAGAATTACCTTATACCTTTATTTCTACGAATTAATTCTTTCTTCCTGTACTATATCCTTATACACAATCTTTTATACATTAATACCATTGAAGTAACTATTATGAATTTGATGTTCATCTTGCTGTGCTAATGAGGTGTAACAACTTATATCGATGCATATATGTGCCTGGTCCTACATTGTAGCTGATTGACTGACTAAGAAAACATATGTACACTTCACATAGGACTCATTTGCAAAGATCACTGGTTTATTACATTAAATATATGCAGTGTAAACTTATTTACCGTCATTGCTGTTGACAGATTCTTAATTTAAATACCCCCCCCACGAGATTCGAACCCGTGAACTATCAGTCTCGCGCGCGAGTGCCTAACCATTAGACCACTGAGCCGACCGGAATCCAACGATGTTAATGTCTAACTTCAACCAATCCATGGAATTGCGCCACCGTTCACCATTGTCTTCAGTGAGCTGACATCTCACAACAGACCTGTATGCGTACTACTGAGGAGTCCCACACTAGGACGAAACGGCCGTCCAGTGCTTCCAGGTTTTCCATGGTGGTCTAGCTTCAATTGATTTATGATTTCAACTATTGGGATTACTTAAAATCTCCACAAAACCCCTTCTGATAGATTTCTAATTGATTAATATCCGTACTTTTATTCTTTAATAAAAATAATACATGTGGATTATAGATTATTTTATAGTGTATATGACTTGTATACACTATCAGTATTTTGTCCTTGAGATAGAAACAGAGCATACATTAACCTTAATCCTGATTAAGTTTTCTTCGTCAATTTACGTAGTTATATGTGTATGTGCACTTTTGTATGTTCATTTAACTAGTCAAGTCGTGTATTTTCTTTTTGTTCTCGTTAACTTTTCCTTCACAATTTTGTTTAATTAATTGATCAATAATGTGAAAATGTGTTGTGCATCATAGTCATTTGTAATAATAATGATAGTACTTTACTTATTCTAATGTTCTGTGTAAATATGTACTTTCTCTAAAAAAAAAAATAATAACAATATAACTTAACACAAACAATTTTTATCCCTCACCTTGTTTTTGTGTCTCCATGTCGATGTATGTCTCTCTATATATGTTTACTTATTCTGTTAGATCAAAACAGGATGCAATGTACCTATCCTTGTGTCATTCAGTTGACAATTTTATTATTTCATACACCACCATGTTAATTTATTAACCTTAATTAATAACGATAACTTAATTGACTGACTATACACTAAATACGTATGTATATCTATGGTATATGACACATGTTACAGCTTTGACAATGAAATCGTAAACAACATTTGTTCTCTGGTGTTTTTACTGTTCATATAAAACTGTTCACAATAAAGTTGATCAAATTGTGAATTAATATCAGATGGGTTTTGTGGAGATTGTAGTAATTTTAATAGTTAAGATCATGAGTCAGTTGAAGCTAGACCACCATGGAAAACCTGGAAGCACTGGATGGCCGTTTCGTCATATTGTGGGACTTCTCGTCAGTGCTCATCCACGATTCCGCTTGCGGTATTCGGACCCAGGGCCTATGGTAATATGTAATGTACTAGATACAAGTACCAAACTGATTGATATTAATTGTGAATCCTTATTAATTGACGTCATTTTCACTCACATTACAGCTGTTCAGTCATTACCATCTAATCCTGATATATAAGAGTATGTTGGGAAATAGCTAAGAACGATCAAACTAAGATATAGTGTCAGCCTGTGGAGTTTCTAACTGTTAGTCGGAGATGTGTCTGATGTTGTAAACGTTTTGATTAATATCATTAAAAATCCGGTTTGTTATCGATCACAATCGGTTGCAGTTGAACATAAAGGATTCTTTCGCGTAAATTTTCAACTTAAGCTTATATCAATAGTTGAGATTATGAGCCAGTTGAAGCTAGATCAACATGGAAAACCTGGAAGCACTGGACGGCCGTTTCGTCCTATTGTGATACTCCTCGGCAGTGAGCATCCAAGACCCCGCCTCGGGGAATTTCCATGGTGGTCTAGCTTCAATTGACTCATGATCTCAACTTTTGAAATTACTATAATCTCCACAAAACCCCTTCTGATATTAAGCTTATATTTTTCATTTCTTGATCAAATCTAATCATTTTGGCAAAATTTTCTTTAATTATTTCAGTCATATTAATGTGTCGACTTGTTTACGTAGTTTCTTGTTGGATTTCCTGTCGATATTGCTGTACGGTGGGTTGTTACAACATAGCTGCATACATTTTTCTATTGATGTCTATCAATCTATTTGTCTGCAGTTTCATTAATATAAGACATTATTTTAAAATTTTTAGTATTTATTCTCAAAGCTATTACATGTTACTATACAATCGTTCAGTATTTCTCTCGCTCAACGTTTATTCATTATATGTTTCTGTTTGCAGTTATACGTCGCGGTCCTGGTCAAGATCCACAATGTGCAGATCCTTTAATTAATTCAGTTGATAAATTTCCAGATACTTCATTTTCATCTAGTAGTGTTTGGAAGAACGCCACTGATTTCCAGCCATTTCGAGCTAGGTAAGTTGAATTATTTTTTATTTTTTGTCTTGTTTTTAAAATTTCATTACAAGTTGATGTCAGTTGGATTAGCACTATCCAAGAACTAAATTATCATCAGTTTCTCTGAACGATTTAATCACTGAGTAGTAATCATTTTCATGTTACTAAACTCTGTTGATTACATTATCATGTGGCTGTTAGTCTATGTGGTCCGACATCGTGATCCACCATGTATGGTTAGCATCAATAAGCTGAATGCATTCAACAAAACGATTTTTCTGATCTAGATTCCATTCTAGTCTATACTATTCCTCATAACATATATACAATCTTGATCGAATGGAAACTTTTCATGCAACTAGAACCAGTGTCCCTTAGTGTCACAATGTGAAGGGTTTTGTGTCTATTATTAATTTTAATTTTGTAAGATCACTTTTGTCCTTCGAACTTTGAAACCTAGATTCTCAGACCCGCGTTACTTGACTTCACAGTCTGAGACATTGCCACTGGGCTATTCGAGTAAAGACTGCTTCCAATACACGTACAATTAGTTGACCAGTGCCAACCAACATGAAACTTAGGTCCAAGGTTCCTCGTCGAATACCTCCAATCACTTTACATAAGACTATGTGTTTTAAAGCCAAGTTCAAAAAATTGTAATTAGCAAATGAGTTTCACTAATATTATTGTTAGTTCAATTTAAATTGGTATTGGTTATCCAGTTGTTGATATTTAAATTTCATATCCATTACACAAGTGGTGGGATGCAGGTACTTCCAGGTGACGAGCCCCGAAGAGGACGAAATTCACGTCCTTGATTCCGCTGCTAGCCACACTCCATCCAGTCTATATTATTATTAGGTTTCTGATCTTTATAAATTCTAAGTGTCCGTATTTAACCTATAAATGTTTTTGGCAAACAAGACTATTATTTTCCATCTTATATAAACCAATCTACCCAAACTGTAGTTGAATGTATAACAGTTAAATAAATTCGTATGAGAAAAAAAGTAATAAAATATAGTATCCCATCTAAAACCGATTAATCTGATAAACGTTTGATATATTTTTTAGGAATTTCACCTAGAAACAGATAATATTTTTTAATTTTAATGGTAGTGAAATAAGTGATTGAAAAATGGCGGATATATATGAGTTAGATATTAAGTTGAGAGTTTAAGATGATAATGAATATTTATAGTTTAGAATGAAGATCTTGAAGGTATTATGTTCTCTGAGTTAGATGGTCAAGTCATGAAGCTTCCATTATCTTTCTAAACAACATTATCAGCACATAATTTTCTTCTTTGAAATCAATGAAATATGATGAGGGTTGATGAATATTGGGTTAACGTGATGATATGTTCTAAGAATATGTTGTCTTAAAAGACAGTAAAAGGGATATGACTGAATTATCCAGCTGAGAGTACATAACCTTTAGAAAAAAAACTTGTAAGTTCAAATCCCATCATATTATATCAATATTTCAGTTAAACAAGTAGGAGTGAATAATGATAAGAATTTCATTCTGAGGATAGTTTACATATTAAACTAATTTTATCTAGACAGTTAATGGTAAAAACCAAGGGGCAATGGTGATAGTTGTTTCTTTATAGCACGGGACTCCTATGTAATGTTCACACTCACAATCTTTTCAGGGATCGAATCAAATATCTTCATACCTTGCGACTGTCACACTACTTTTAGATCACTGAATTCAGCTTCCAATAGTCCACATTTTCAATTTCAGTCTGTCCGCGATTTTACATGGCCATGATTTGTCGATACTCCCTAGTGTGTAGCTTCATTAGGTTTTTAACTACTTTTAAATCCAACAATCCCCACTAATCTCTTATTTTATCACCGTGATTATTGCAACCACTTGTATGAGGAGTTGGCTGAAATGGTTCCGGTTTGGTTGTAACAACACTGATACACTCACTTCTTTATCCACACTTGATTTTTGAAGTAACCATACACCTATTTATTCCTCAAATGCATTCTTTTTGAATTATATTGTTTATACTTAATATTTCTTAATACCATTGATAATGTTACTATTTCTATTACTCTGGGATTCGTCTTGATAATTTCATCTGACTATCCTGATATAGCGTGACAATTTGAGATGATGGATAAATATTATAAATATGACTAATTTCTTATTAATGTTATTATATATACATAGTTCAATTGAAAGCGTGAGAACAGAGTACAGACCCAGTTTTGTATGTTGATTCTTTTACCCACGAAAAAAATGTTGTTGTTGGAGGACTATTAATTGATGAGTAGTGAAGTTGTTTTATCTTGAAAAGAGTAGATTTGTAAATATGATTTGTTTAGATTTTTCATTGTACTGTTTATTTGAATCTTCCCATTGACATTTAGGACTTCAGTTGATCAGTCTCTTATTGGGATATGTACATCCTGTGCGGACTGCCTCCTTGTTGCCTTAAGTCACAACTGTTATAAACAAAAATGGATGGTAACTAGCAGTGGAACCCAGGACATGCGTTTCGTTCTATTTGCGACTCTTCAGCTGAATGTACCTGCTACCCATAGTTGATATTCACTCTGGGATTCGAACTCAGTACCGTTTGCTTCAAACACTATCACATTATTCATTTGGCTACTGAGTTCAGATAGCCACTAGCTTATGAAATGGGGTGAAGCTTCATTTTATTTTTTTGTATTGTTTGTTTGAATCTACCAGTGGGATGTAGATACATTCAGCTGACGAGTCCAAAGTATGACGAAACACACGTCTTATATTCCACTGCTAGCCACTATCTATACATAGATATTACCATTACTATAATTATTATTGTACTTGTTAATAACATGCATTACTTCCTTTAACAATGAAAAACTTGTACTAGTCGATATTCACGATATATATACATATACATATATAATGTAAATGCAAATGTGTATAGTATGTATGTATATATCACTACGTTGAAATAAGGGAGTAGACATATTGCCTATGAGACAGATTATTTAATATATACACTTTATTCACGTCGTTATTACATATTGTCATTTTGTTTTTACATGTGTGTGTGTGTGTGTGTGGGTATGGATTCGTTCTACTTATTCCATTTTTGTGTTTGATGTGTACCCGTTTAACCTAATTGTAAATAACTCTAAATAAACATTCTGTAAATGAATAAATTTTAATAAAATAAATTCTTTGATATCATATTAGTTGGTTAATTAATTTATGCATACAAATTGGACAGTTGGCACACTGTAGTATAAATAATTACATATTATCTCATTTACATGATAATCATTAAAGATAGCATATAATAGTTGATAGTTGAAATCACGAATCGATCTAAGCTAGAAAATACTACAATCTCTATAAATCTGCATACTGATATAACAATCATGTTCTCACAAGTGATTAACTTCTTCAAGATGTGTAACCCTTAGAATCCTAGTAAGAAACTGTGACCAGTGTAGTCCAATCTGTGTCGGGTGTGAAATAGTTATTGACCTCAGATAATGGATGAAGGGTTACACAAGATCATAGATTGGTTGATATTAAACATTAACATCATTGGATTCAGATTCGGTGGTCTAATGATTAAACGTTCGCGTCTTCGAGTCTTGTGTGCATGATCGTGGATGCTCACTGCTGAAGGAGTCTCATACTAAGATGAAACGACCGTCCAGTGCTTACAGGTTTTCAATGGTAGTTTAACTTAAATCGACTCGTGATTTCAACTGTAAAAATACTACAATCCCCACAAATCCCCATACTGATATAATTATTGATTAAAAATGAATGTATTCGTTGACTGATGGATTACTTTTTAATGTCCTGGAAATAATAAATTTTTAATAACTTTAAAATCGTGTGGTTATACCTGGTAGCTGATTTAACTGAAATTCAAATTTAATTACTATTAGCTCAGTTCAGTGGTTAGTGAATTCATCGATTGTTAATCATCATGACTTGAACTAGTTGGCTTTAACCTTCTTACAACTTACTTTGCTATACTAGCAAGTATATTAGACTGGAGTAGATCGTAACTGATTCTAGGTAAAGTATGTGTCAATCACCTCAGCTGATAAATGTTTAAGGTCTAATCAACCAATTTCTCATATTTATTCAGTATTTTACATTTGCCCTCAGCATTGCTCACTTGGCTATTTAGCGAGCGATTCTTCAAAAGATTCCTTAATCTTATTCTAGAAACATGGACTTGTTCACATTTTCCAAAGAATATGTTTCATAGCATTAAAGTAATTCAAAGTTGAACAATTAGTTTGCTGTAGCTTCTGTTGATTTTGTCAGCCTCTAGTCTATCATAAATAATGGAACTTGAAGATCAAGTGACTTGGTTGACATACTCAACTACTTTACTCTCTATATTATCAGGTTAAATATTAACACATCTCAACCTTTGAGTTAAATCTTGCATTCAGAAAGAGAGTAAAATATTTCTCAAACATTTTTACATTATTTGAGATGCTCAGGAAACCTCATCAAAATTATATCATACAAGTCCTCCAAGAACAACACTGAAACAAGATTGTTATCTGCTAAGAAGTTAATTCTCGTGGGATCAGCTGAAACTCAATCATAATGATAAACTTACATAAAGTATCATGGACACAGATGGTTATTTGATGGAACTGATTTTATACAAATGATCATAAATAGCTAAAAACAGTGAAATTTTATCCGATTACTAGCCAATCAGAACACTGACAACATAAATTAGAGTTAGGAGGGAAAAATTATTTGTACTCATATGAACAAATACATGCTCAGTCACTTCCTTGATTTTAAATCTCAAGAGAGTTTAAGTTGCTGTGAAGAAATTATATATCCTGTTATATACATTCTAATCCTATTTATTACGATGGGGTTGCAGAGATTGTTGAATTTCATCTCAATCATGAACCTATCTAAGTTACACAACCAATGAGAACCTGAGAGCATTAGAAGGCTGTTTTGTTCTGGTATAGGAATTTTCAGTGGTGCCCAGCAGCGGGAATCGGGC